ATTCATCTCCAGAATCAATACAATTAAAATTCACCATTTAAGGGAAGGCAGTGACATACCTGTGAACTGGTAATCCAGACCTCCACGCTAATGCTCTGGGGTCATGGGTTCAAATCCCACTAGGGCAAATGGTGAATTTAATTTTTTTTTGAAGAATTTGTATTTAAAATCTAGCCTAATGTAACCACTATCAATTGTCATTAAAAAAAATTGGCTCACTAAGGAAATGTGCCCTCCTTTCCCAGTCTGGCCTACATATGACCCAAGCCAAGTACGTTTAGTAAAATCCTTCGCGAACAGCAAGAGTGTTCTGGAGAATCGTAGTACTGTGACCATTTCTCACGCAACAGGGAGTTACAGAGTGGACATTCCTTGACAAAACTCAAGCTGTCCTAGGAAACTAAAGGAAGCTTGCATCGATTTGTTCATTTTTCCAGTTTCGCTACTCACCACTTACACTGCACAAAGTCTTAAAGACTATTCAAATAAAATTGTTGCCAATCCATTCTGGTAAAACAGCATTCCTAGGAGACCACAACCTGTACAAGAAACAAAAGGTGCACAACATGTTTCAAAAGGAAGATTAACTTCCAAAAAACTTTTTTTTTAAGATGCACCATGGATTAATTTTAAATACCATTCAGTGTAAACCCATCCTGAACTGTTAATCAATTCAGCCATTTATGTTTAGAACCTGAAGAGATAGAATCAGAATCCCTACAGTATGGAAGCAGGCATTTGGCCCATCAAGTCCACACCACCCTCCAAAGAGCATCCCACCCAGATCCATCCCATGCACTATCCCCATAACCCTGCATTTCCCATGGCTAACCCACCTAACCTACATATCCCTGGACACTACAGGGCAATTTAGCAAGGTCAGTCCACCTAACCTAGATATCTTTAGACTATGGGAGGAAACCCACGCAGACACAGAGGGGGAATGTACAAACTCTATACAGACAGTCACCCAAGGGTGGAATCAAACTCGAGTCCCTGGCGCTGCGAGGTAGCAGTACTAACCACTGAGCCACCGTGCCACCCAAGATGCTTGCCTAACCATCAGCAGTTGAAGGATCATTGATGAATCAGGAAAGCCATTGCTGAGTCAGCAATCTAGTTCATTTCACTGTATTCTCTCGATGTCTACATTACTTGAAACTAGAGTTAGTCACCTGTCCAAACAGAAATGATTCTCAACCTGCTTTCCAACCGGTTCAGCCATCAACACCCAGTTCCCAATCCATCAATATTAGCTTTGCTACAAAGCTGAAACTACTTTGCAATAACATTGAAAATGGACTTTCAATTGGCATGAGGTGGTGGAGGGAAGTGAAAGCAGATTATCAGATGCCAACAAGGCAACCACAACCCAATACTAAGCCACTTGATAGAGGTAGATGCTATCTTAATCTTAGCCTTGGGCTAGATAAAATGAGTGTGCCCAGGAGTTCAGTTGATTACGTGCAAAAACCACAAAGCATCAAAAGTTCTAACCGAGGACCAAGACTGAGAAGCTCATTGTTAACAAAACGCTAACTCCTGATATTTTCTAAAGTTGTTTAAAATCTAAAACTGAGCTGAACTTAATCTTTTAAAAAATAGATGGGAGACACTGTATGAGAGAATTTTCAGAAGAAAACCATTAAGTGAAACGGTAGCAGGAATAGATCAACAGTAAGCTTCGAAAGGTATTTGGATGTGTAATTGATAATGAAGACATTCACAGGACTATGGGAAAGAGCAGAGGGCGTGACACTAAGTGCTCTTTCAAAGAGCTGACACACATATGATTTGCTAAATCATGACAGAGTAAAACAGCCTGTAAGGCCATTTGGCCCACTATGCCTGTGCCAGCTCTTTGAGCTACACAATTACCTTCACACCCCCTGTTTCTTCCCCACATCATCATAATAGGGGGGACACAATGTCCAGTGAGAAGTCTCACCATGGCCACTCATTCCCTGCAGTGTCCTCCCAATTTCCCATAGTGACTCCGAGGGAAATGGCCATTTGCTCGTCTCTGCGAGAAGGTCCTGTGGTTTCTCCAGCTGTGTGTCACAGTGTTGGCGCAGGCTGTTCAGATGTGATGCCAGGAAGAACTTCATGCAATGAGTGCTCCGAAGCCTCCATCGCTCCTGAAAAAGCTGTGAATGTTGGGGGCCATCTGGGCCTTTCAAGACTATGATAGATTTTTGTTTGTTAAAACATCAAAAGATACAGAACAGAAGCAGGTTAATGGAATTGATATGCTGATTGGCCCAAGATCTGCTGATAGGCCCAAGATCTGCTGATAGAAGAGGCTTGAATAGTTTCCTTTTGTTCCCACTACTGTATACTGCAAGCCCCTGCAGACCAGAAGTCAACTCTGGGAGAAAGATTTGATTGAGGAGAAATTTTTCACTCAAAAGTTAAGAATCTTTGGAATTCTTTAACCTAGCGGGATGTGAATATTCAAGTTGTACAGTACCTTGAAGACAGAGATCAATGGATTTTTTTTGACACTAGGGAGTAATGTGGCACAACAGACTTGTAAGGGAAGGTCAGCCTTGATCCTACTGAATGGTAAAGCAGGCTGGCTCTACTCCTGTACCATTTCCCAGACTCTGAACTCAAGCAGAGCTCGAGCCTGGATTGACTCACCTTCTCCATTTAATGCTTGACTCTTCTGCTTCACTTCATGATACACCCCTACTCCTTACAGTGCCCCAACTTACCATTCTGCTTGCTACCCTCCTCGTCATCCTACTCCCAACCTCTGACTGCAACCTCCCCCACCACCACACCCCTATTCGCCATCTTGCTCCCCCACTTCCAGAGATAGTGAATAGGAAGGCAGGCCAGCAGTCAGCAGGAGGAAGGTACTGAAGGTTCTGGAGCTGGGCAGGCAAGTATTCAGAGTGAAGCAGTGAACAAATTGCAATTCTTGTTATGAACACATTTGGAGTCACAGAGTCACACATCATGGAAACAGGCCCTTCGGCCCAACTCATCAATGCTGACCAGGTTTCCTAAACTGAACTAGTCCTATGTACATTTGGCCCATATCCCTGTAAACCTTTCCTGTCCAAATGTCTTTTAAAGGTTGTAATTGTACACACTTCTACACTTCATTCTCGCAATTCATTCCATATATGCATAACCCTCTGTGTGAAAATGTTGCCCCTCAGGTTTCTTTCAAATCTTTTCCCTCTCACCTTAAACCAATGCCCTCTAGTTTTGGGCTCCCCTATGCTGAGGTGAAGATCTTTGCTATTCACCTTATCTATGCCCCTCATGATTTTGTAAACCACTATAAGGTCAGCCGCCTATGCTCCAGGGAATAAAAGTCCCAACCTATCTCGCCTCTCTTTATAACTCAAATCTTCCAGTATTGCAACATCCTTCCTATAGCAGGGCGACCAGAATTATATGGAGTAGTTGCCTGGTTAGTGGTCGATGCTTCTGAACTCAATGTCCAAGGTTTAGTAGAACTGTTCAGAAATAGCAAGAGTTAATGCAAGACCTGATCTCGCAGAATGAGAATGCTAAGATTGTTCAGCTTCTCACTATGACAATGACATACCAGAATGACAAGGAAGCTCTTGTGGCTTCCTCATGGTAGCTCAGCAGTGGTATCATGACATAAGCCATATTTCAAGGTAGCTGGCAGCATATGTACAGATAACAGATAAGGCTATGAAGTAACTGCAAGGTCAGTATGCAAACACAGTCACGTTTTCACATATTGTAAGTGGCAGCTTGAGGACCACACTCTTGCTACGACATCAAGATTTATCTTCCGGGGAACGTTTCCTGGGAATTTCGTCCCCTGCTTTTCTCCAACTGATGGCTAAGTCAGTGGATATATCCATGTGATCTCAGCTAACCAACCAGTTATCATTTGCAAATGTCTACCGTAAGGGTCGCAGTCTCTTTGATCACCAGTGTTTTCACAACCAGACATCTTGCCCTCACCATACTCAAAACTCAGTCTCAGATCAGAAGTAATTGAGCAATGGCTTTACGAGCATGAGCCTGAAGGGCCTGCTATACATATGTATACACACATACATACACAGTGTTATATAAAACATCAGTTAATTGTCATAAATCATCACTTCATCTTTCAGAAGTGAGTCAAGGAGCGACTGCACGCCTGAGATTCTGACATCAGTCAGACGGATTGTCAACTTTCTGGCATTAAGTATCAAATACATCAGTTTGGTCACATTACTGAGGCAGAGCACCATCCTTTCATGGGGTAGTTAGAAACAAGGGGCTTATACTTAAGATGAGGTAGTCCGTTTAGAACTGAGGTCAGCAAGTACCTCACACAGAGGGTAGTGGAAATCTGGAATAAACAAAAACTGCAATTGCTGCAGAAACTCTTTGTTACAGGTGCCTCATGGTCAAATCAATAGCAGTGATGTCACAGGAAATGAAACTGCATGGATGTTGAGTGCACTCCCACAGAGGTGCTAACACCAAACACAGCCTTAAATGTATGGGGCAGGAACTGAAGGGCCCAACTTTGGTTCCCAATGCACCCAATTCACATTCTATATAACAGACAAAACTTTGACCTAGTCTGTCAAATTAAATCAACAGTGCTTTCAACCCATATGGCCCATGTCAGTGTGCGTACACCAAACAAGCCTTTTCCCTAACCCTTTTCATCTCACCCTATCAGCATATCCCTTTTACTCCTTAGAGGTAGGCACTACACAAACAGTCAGACTCTGCGAATGAGGGGTGTCAGCTGAAGTGGGATCTTTCTGATCCTCAGCTCGTTGCTGCCCTGTGTCCTTTTGCGATGAATGTGACAAAAGTGCAGAACTCTTTACTTGCACCCACTGCCCACCATAAAAATAACTGGGACTTCACCTTTCAATTTGCTGTGCGTGTAACAGTTATTTGTTATGTCCAAACCCTGCTGAAAAGGCTCTCAATCTCTCTACTTTTTGCAAACCACAGAAACTCAAGGCACAACCTTAAAGAATTTCCACATTAACCACAGATTCATTACCAAGTCCTTTAATTTATAACTGTAATGATTATCACAGCATGGGAACGGAGTTTGAAAACCACATAGAAAACAGATAAATCTGCTGCATACTCGTAGGCAATGAGGTATGTTGCACTCTGTAGCAACTGTTATTCCAAAGTCCAATGGTGCCTGACCAGATCATTCCTCTTTCCCAGTAATCCTTCAGCCAGCTCAAATTCCAAGGGAACTGATTTCACCTTCTTGTTTGGTTCTTTTTCAAAAAGCTGCTTAAAGTAAAGAACAAAGAACAAAGACCATTACAGCACAGGAACAGGCCCTTCTGCCCTCCAGGCCTGCGCCGATCCAGATCCTCTATCTAAACCTGTCGCCTATTTTCCAAGGATCTGTCTCCCTCTGCTCCCTGCCCATTCATGTATCTGTCTAGAAACTCATTTCAAAACAAACAAAATTACATAGACTGAGAGAACGGAAGATGATGAGATCTATCGGTTATGAAAGCTCATAATATGTTCTTAATATTTAGGAACTTGGGTTTTGAAGTGGAGCAGAAATGGATTTTTCAGTCTGTGAAGGAATGACCTGTTTATTTTCAGGGTCAGAAAGTCAATATAAACATTGAGATTGAAGCAGCATGTACAACTTGTCATATGATTTCAGCTCAATAAAAGGCATGCCACCTGGAGAGATCACTGTTAAGTCATTACACCTGTTAAGTCTTGGGAGATCATACAATTACACTTAACATCAGAAAACATCCTAAAGCACTTCATAAAGACTGTTAAAGTCATTTGCTGACATAAGTTGTATGATTATCAGAAGGAGCTTGAAGCAGGTTCATGCAGTGGTGTTGTTATCAGCAGAATCTAGGCAGTCAGGTTTGGGCAAAGTCCTGACTAGGAAGCTCCAAAGGTGTCAGTGAGGAAGAGATCCTACAATGTTGCTGAAGACATGAGTTTAGGGAACCAATGTTAAGTAATAGTGAGCATAGTCAGCAGCTTTTTTTAAACAATTTAAGGGAGGAAGAGAAATTAACTGAATAGCATTGAGTAATTTTGCAGCAATTTGCTGAAAGGAGACAGATAACAGCTGTAGCAGCTGAGCAGTGAGCTTTAGCAGGAAACATGGGTGACTGTGCACTGAGATTTCAATGTTTGTAAGGGTTGAATTTTTCTGTCTGATGTTTCTAATGAGATCACTTCAATATTCTTCTACACTGTTATGGTCTCTAATGAATATGTAAAAACCAAAAGAACTGCGGATGCTGTAAATCAGGAACAAAAACAAAGTTGCTGGAAAAGCTCAGCAGGTCTGGCACCATCTGTGGAGGAGAAAACAGAGTTAACGCTTCGGAAGGGTCACCAGACCCGAAACGTTAACTCTGTTTTCTCCACCACAGATGCTGCCAGATCTGATGAATATGCTCAATGAATGATTTCCAGAGTAACTGAAAGGAAAAGTAAACCTTAACCCAGATTTCACTGAGATCTGACTGGTTCAGTCTTGCCATAAACTGGCATCAGTATTGGGTTTCTACACCCCAACCCACCAACTCGAAGTTCCTCCATCCCATCTCTCATTACATGATTATAATACCTGAAGTATGTTGAGTTAGCCTTTTGATCATTCCTCTGTTCTCTTAGCCTGGTTGCCCATTTTGCTTCTTCCTTATGAAGTGCATTAGGATGTTTTCTGATGTTAAATGTAATTGTATGATCTCCCAAGATGACAATGTTTCTTCAATTCTGTTCTCTCACACCGAGATAGGTAGAAACTTAAATTGTGAAGAGGTCAAAAGAGGTTACAGAGAGACAGACATAGATTAAGTGAGTGGGCAAAGGTGCAACAAATGAAGTATAATGTGAGAAAATACGAAATTGTCCATTTTGGCAGGAAGAATAAAGCAGCACATTATCTAAATGGAGAGAGATTCCAGAGTTTTAACATGCCAAAGTAGCAGAGTCTCCTAGTTCATGAATCAGAAAAAGGTTAGTATGCAGAAAGTAATTAGGGAAGCTAATAGAAACTTATTGATTACTGCATAGGGAACTAAATACAAAAGTAGGACAGTTATGCTTCAGTAATACACTGTATTGGTGAAGCCACATCTAGGGGATTATGTACAGCATTGGTCACCCTTTCTAAGGATGTAAAGGCATTGATAGCAGTTCAGAGAAGATTTAATAGACTCATACCTGGAATGGGAAGGTAAGTTAATGAGAAAAGGTTGGACAGGTTAGGACTGTATTTGCTGGAATTTTGAGTAAAAGGTGATTGAAACATTAAAGATCCTGAGAAAACTTGACAGAGTAGATATGGAAGGAATGGTCACTTGGGATGGAGACTCTAGAATTGGGGATCACTGTTTAAAATTCAGGGTTGCAATTTCAAACAGAGATGAAAAGAAATGTTTTTCTCATAGAGGGTCATGTCTCTTCCTGAAAAAGATGGAGGAAACAGAGTCTGATTATTTTAAGGCAGAAGTAGATAGATTCTTGATAAGCAAGGGATGAAAGGTTATCGAGTGGGCAACAGCATGGAGCAAACAGATCACCTAAGATCTTGTTGAATGGTGTGGCAGTCTCAAGGGAAGAAATGGCCCAGTCCTGTTCCTAAGTGGGTTGTTCACAAGGTAACTGTTTCTGAGTTTGAGTCAGGCCCTACAATCAAGGGCAACAAGTGTGCTGTGGCCTCTGCCTTCATTATGTCCGCAGCACGCCCAGACTGTTCAAGTTGTACAAGAATCACAGCATCTCTGAAGCTGGGGTTAAGAAGGTAAGGAAAACCACAAAACTTGTTCATAGTTTATTAAAAACTGCAAACCCTACTGCATTCTGCACCATTCAAATATTATTTGATTCTATGCAAACAATGAAGGCCACACAAATGGCCTGCTTTTACTACAGTGAGTGTAGACACTGGCTGTTAGGGCTTTTGAGGTGCAGTGGCAGTGTCCCTACCTCTGAGCCAGGAGGCCTGAGTTCAAGTCCCACCTGCTCCAGAGGTGTGTAATACCTCTGAACAAACTGATTAAAAATATCTAGAGACCATGGCTGTTAATCAGATTGCATTCTAATTCTCCTACAGAAGATTCCTCTCACTGAAAACAATGTGTAATGTGCTAACACTTCAAGAAGTGCTGCACATCTCAGTCTATAAGGTGTAAATATAGTTGTTTACCTGTTTTTATGCCTAAGCAAAGAGTTCATTTCTCCATGTGCCAGCTCTGATATACAAATCCAAAATTAATCCCACTGCAATTCCCTCTTCATAGGCCCATATCAATCCCAAACTAATCCCACTGATCCATTCTCTTCATACAGCCCTGTATTAACCCCAAACTAATCCCATCTCTTTTGATAACCCCACTCTTCCCTCCCTTTCCATAGCTCTGTATTAGTCCCAAAATTACTCCTCCTCTCTCTCAACACACCTATATAAATTCCCACATTCAGCCCACTGTCTCTCTCTCTCCCCACTCCCTCCCCCACCCCAAAAGCCCTGTATCAGTTGAAGTTGTAGTGAAAGCATTCCTGTGGGTATAATTAATGATGAATTGCCTGGAATGAGTGTTATAAAGTGAGAGCCCATACGTTCAGTCTGCCTATATTGTATGAAGAAACATCCTCAAAGCAATTCATTAATGGGAGGAGGACAGGGACGGAAAACCATTGTGGAGCAAGTACTGTAGATTTCCCAAGAGGCAATGAGGCTCTATATACATCACACGTCCTGCCCTTTCCAGCACAGTTTGACAATGTTTCAACACATGCGACTTATAGAACATAGGAACAGGAGCGGGCCATTCAGCTTCTCAGACCTTTCTGCATTATGTAAGTTTGAAACACTGCACAGATGTAGAGATCAATAGTCCCTTATTCAAACCAGCACATTTGCTGGACATGAAGGGGGTGGGTGGGTGGTATAAGAATAATATGGAGTGCAGAGGTCATGCTGTGAATGTAAGGAAATCAATATTGAGGCTGCAAAGTGCCAAATGAGGTGTTCTCCCACCAGTTTACGTTGAGCTTCACTGGAACAGTGTTAGTATGGGAGCAAGGAGGTTTATGATTTTATGAACTGCATCCCCCTCTCCCATTCATATTCCAAGCACCAGTCAGCAAAGATTTAAATGACACGATCCAACATCTTCTCCATCAGTTCAGTAATCATTTAGCCAAATAATGTCTTCAGAAGCCTAATGGTAGCCACTAACCACAACCGATAGTGCCAAAAACCCACCCGGTTCTCTAATGTCCTTTAGATAAGGATATCTGTCATCCATACCAGGTCTGGCCTACATGTGACTCCAGGCCCACATCAATGGGTTGACTTACAACTGCCCTCTGTAGTGGTCCTAACAAGTCACTCAGGGCAAGGGGTAATTAGGGACAGACAATAAATGATCGACATCCCGACTGATGAGCAAATTTTTAATTCATTCACAAGGGGGTGTCACTGGCTAGACCAAGCACTTACTACCCTCCCTAATTGCCTAGAGGGCATTTAAGGGTCAACTACATTGCTGTGGGTCTGGAGTCACATGTGAGCCAGACCAGGTAAGGATGGCAGATTCCCTTCCTTAAAAGGACATTTGTGAACCAAATGGGTTCTTACAACAAATCAACAATGGCTCCATGGTGACCATTAGGCTAGCATTTTATTCTAAATTTTTAATGCATTCAGATTTCACCATCTGCCACAGTGGAATCTAAACCCATGTCTCTAGTTACTAGGCCAGTGACATTACAACTACAACGCCTCCTCCCCCAATTAACAGATCAAAATATAGCAACTGCACAAAATTATTACTCACCTCTGAAACAGAAAGGTCAAGGAGTGTGGACAGGTCAGACTCTTGGCTGGACAAAGCTTTGTTTATTGTAGCTGCTTCATTGGCAACATCGGGATGGTAATGATACTGCAGAGTCTGAATGAGAGACAGAGCAAAACAAAGCTGACATATACAGAATCAGAGTAACACTGAAATAAAACAGGCTGAGTTTAATGCCAGAGGACTCTTGAATGTAGAGTACAAAATGTAGGAGCAGGAGACCATTTGGGCTGTCAAGCTTGCTCCACCACTCAATACAGTCCTGGTCACTTCCCATCTCTCTCAATTCCCTAAAAGACTAAAAATCAGTCTTTCTAGCTTAAAATATACTTATGTGGTGAAGCCTCCACAATGCTCTGAAACAATGCGACAGTGCAGGCCCAATAAACCACAGCTGGGAACACGCGCTCTCACACCCACACTATAAAGTGTGCAAAGCTTCATGCACATAACAGATAAAGGTAAAGTTGCCACAGTCTTACCAAATTACTGTACTTTTTTAAAAATGTGTTCATGGGATGCAGGTACTGCTGGCAGGGCCAGCATTTACTGTCCATCCCCAACTTCCCCTTGTCCTGAGTGACTTGTTAGGACCACTTCAGAGGGCAGTTAATAGTCAACTTCATCACTGTGGGCCTGGATTCACATGTCGGTCAGACCTAGTATGAATGGCAGATTTCCTTCCCTAAAGGGCATTAGTGAATCAGATGGGTTTTTACACCAATCAACAGTGGTTAATGGTCACCATTAGACCAGCATATCATTCCAGATTTTTCTTGAATTCAAATTTCAATCTGGTGGGATTTGAACCCATGGTGCCAGAGCATTAGCTTGGGGTTCTCAATTACTAGCCCAATGACATTACCACTATAACACTGTCTCCTCAATGAACACTGTGGAATACTGTGAATAGCTTAGGTTGTCTTATCTTAGGAATGAGTCCAGAAAAGGGTAACCAAATTGATTCCAGATATGGATGGATTTTATGAGGAGAGGTCTTCTGGTCAATGGAGTTTAGAAGAATGAGAAGATCCTTTATTGAAACATACAAGATTCTTAGGGGGCTTATCAGGGTAGCTGTTAAGAAGCTGTTTCCCATTGTGGAGAATCTAGGACAACAGAGGATAATCTCAGAGTACTGAGTCACCCATTTAAAACAGAGATGAGTATTTTCTTTTCTCTCAGAGGGTAATGAATCTATTGAATTTTTTTATTGCAAAGGACTGTCGAAGCTGGGTCGCTAGGTATATTCAAGGTTCAGACAGACAGATTTTTAATCAGTAGGAGAATCAAGGATTAAGGGGATAAGGCAGGAAAGTGGAATTGAGGATTACCAGATCAGTCATGATTTCACTGAATAGCAGAGCAGACTCAATATGGCAAATGGTCTACTTCTGTTTCTACGGTTTAGTTAAGAATGACTCTGCCTTCATCTGACATCCATACATTCATAATTCCATGAGGATTGGCGGAAACCCGAGAATAGGAAAGGAGACTAAATATTTAGTGCTGTTCTCTCACGACAGAGAGAGACGACTGGTGATGGTTTAACCTGAGGGTCACCAGGTGAGGAGAGAGGTTGAGAAGAGAGCCCTTCATCTAACCTCAGTGGGAATTGAACCCACACTGTTGGTGTCACTCTGTACTGCAAACTAGCCATCCAGCCAACCCATACGTAAAGTTAAGCTTGAGAACAGAAGGGCATGTAAGCTACATGCATTCCTGCAATAACCACCGCATACCTATAGATCCTTGAGGACAGTAAGTCAGGTAGATAAGGTGGTAAACAAGGCATATAAGATACTTGCAGTTATCAGTCAAGGTGCTGAATACAAAGGCAAGGAGGTTATAACGTCATGGTGTATACTGTTAGGCTACAGGTGGAGTATTGAGTTCAATACTGGTCAATAGGAAGTAGTTTTACGAGAGACAGTGCCGAGGCGTTTCACCAGGATGCTGCCTGGGCTGGAACAATTCAACAGTGAAAAGAAGCTAGATAGGCTGGGACAAAAACAGAATGCGCTGGCAAAACCCAGCAGCTCTGGCAGCTTCTGTGGAGAGAAAGCAGAGCTTAATGTTTCAAGTTTACATATTCTTCATCAAAACATTTTTGTGTTATTTCTAGATAGGCTGGGCTTGTTTTCATTAGAGCAGAGAAGGTTGAGGCTGGGCAGGGAGGTGGATTTGGCGTGGTGGTGTGCTAATTGGGGTACATTAAAATGAGGAGCAGAGATTGAATAGATTGGCAGAAACTTTTGCCCTTAGTAGATGGGTCAAAAAAACCAGGATGCACAGTTTTAAGGTGGGAAGCAAGAGGTTTAGAGGGGATTAAAGAAAAATTTTTTTATTTAGAACTCACTATCCAAAAGGGTGATAGAGGTGGGATCCCTCAGGACATTAAAAGAAGTATTTAGATAATCGCTTGAAATGCCATAGCACACAAGGTAATGGGCCAAGTGCCGGAAAATGGGATTACAATAGATAGACACTTGATGACCAGCACAGACAGAATGGGCTGAAGGATCTTGTTCCATGCTGTTAAAATCTCTATGACCTTCTCTATGACTTTAAGAGGACTCCTCAACGATGAGGGATGGAGTAGAGCTGGCTCATACCCTAGAACTCAGAAAAATGAGAAGTGATCTCACTAAATGTAATCTTCTAATCTTTGATAGGGTAGATGCTGAAACACTGCATTCCCCTGAATGAAGAACTCAGGGGTCACAGTCACAGAATGAGGAGTCAATTATTTAGGACTTTTAAAAGGCATCTGGATGGGTACATAAATAGGAAGGGTTTAGAGGGATATGGGCCAAATGCTGGCAAATGGGACTAGATTAATTTAGGATATCTGGTCGGCAGGGACAAGTTGGACAGAAGGGTCTGTTTCCGCGCTGTACATCTCTATGACTGTAACGGGGAGAAACCTCTTCATTTAAATGGCTGTGAATCTTTGGAATTTTCTACCTTAGAAGGTTATGGATTCTAATTCATTGAGTACCTTCAAGAAAAAGGTAAAGAGATTTGGACAGTAACAGCATTAAGGAATTTGGAAATAATGCGAGCAAATGGAATTGAAGTGGAAGATCAGCTGTGATCTAATTGAACAGTAGAAATTGCTCAAGCGACTGAACAATCTAACTACATCCCGTTTCTTATGTCTAAGTTAGTGTAACATTTTGTTGAACACTTTGTTTCAAATCCATGTAGTTTTCAAAAGGCAAGTAACCTAAGATTAGAGTACCAACACACTTCTGAGTGCCTTTCATATGTACAGAGGGGAATTCCAAACAGGCAGAAACATTACCCAGTAAACTGACCAACCTGGAGTTCCCACAAAGAACTCTCCATGGCTCGGCACTTTGCAGGATCTTCCTCCTCCATTATGTATGGGTCAGCAGAAAGATCTGAAAAATACACAGTGTTAATACAAAATGACTCTTCTTTGGAGCTGGAAGGAAGATGGTGACGTAGTGGTCAATACATTGGTCCTGCCAGCTTTAGGCCCAAGCTAATGCTCCAGGATCAGGGGTTCAAACCCCAGCGTGGTAGCTGATGGAATTTAACTTCAATTAATAAAATCTGGATTTGAAATCTAGTCTCAGTAATGGTGACCGTGACAAGTACCATCAACTGCTGTAAAGACTCTGGTCACTAATGCCCTCGAGAGGGAAATCTGCCACCCTTACCTAGTCTGGTCGACATGTGACAGAAAACGGTACAACAATTGACTCTTAACTATCCTCAAATGGCAAAGCAAACCCATTCAGGGCAATTAGGGATTGGTAACAAATGCTCACAGAATACAGCAAGAAAAGAATCACATCACCTTAATTTGGTCACTTGAATACACAAGGAGGAAATGGAGCTGATTGGATAAGTCTTTCAAACAAACTCAATGGGCTGAATGACCTTCATTTAGCACTTATAAGATTCTTTCCTTTCTATATTCGATTTATATTGTCTGATTTTATTGTGTCTCTTGCTCACATTCTGGAAAATCATTACGTCCCTTTAAGGGACTGCATCTCTGTAGATGTTTTGAAGCCCAACTCAATTTTAACGTCCTCATAAGTTAATGACTTCAGGAATTCAAATCTAACCTAATTATTGGAGACAAATGAAAAGCCTCTGGTTTGACGGTCTGTGGTTTCTGTGTCATCACTAAGAGGTTTCTCAGCTTCCAATAAATTGAAATTTACACCTGCAAAACACATGGCCAAAATGCAGGTACAACACATTTTACTGCAGTTAATTCACAGTAGTCACAATAAGAGTAAGAGGAACAGTTACCTTGAGTTTCATTAGGCCTGTGAATAAGAAGCTTGCAAGATGGATGCCGACGGATCAGGTTACAGATGAACGGAATAAGCATCAGCAGGGCCTGAGGGGGTGAGTTTAATGACAGGCGAGATAAACGCTTGCTAAATGCTGCCACAAGATATGCTGGCAAATGGCTAGATAAAGGAAAAGAAAACTCAAACACTTACTGGTCCATACACAAGTAGACATTTAGAAGTCTAAGAACTCTAGGTTATACTGCATCTATATAAGTCACTGGCTAGACCTCTACTGGAGTAGTGTCCAATTCTGAGCACCCCACTTTCAGAAGGAGGTCAAGATGGTGGGAGCGTAGAAGATTTACAGCACACAAGGAGACCGTTCAGCCCAGCATGCCTCTGCTGCCTGTGAAACAGTTATCCAGCTAAATCCCTGGCCTCTGGGTTTGCAGCCCTATAGGAGGTTTTGACACTTCAAGCAGAAATCCATGAGTCTTTTAAAGACAAAAAGATTTTATGCCTCTAACACCAATCAGGCAGTTCCCAACCCCTACACCCTCTGAATGAAAACCACTCCCCAACTTCCTTCCACCAATTAACTCAAATCTCTATTCCCCATTCCGGATTTCTCCCGACTCAAGGAAGTAAATTCTTCCTATTCACTCCATAAAATCACGGAGGCACAGATAAGGTGAATGACAGGGTCTTTTCCCTTGGTTGGGGGAGTTCGAAACGAGGTTACCTATTTTTAAGATGACAGGAGAAAGAGTTTAAAAGGACATGAGTGACAGCTTTTTTTACACAGAAAGTGGTTCATAATTTTATGCGCATCAGTTAAATCACGTTATTCCTCAATTCCCAGGAAAACAAAACACTTCTATCAAACCATTCCTCATTGCTAAATGTCCTGGCAATGTTCTTGTAATTCTCCTCTGTCCCATCTCTAGCATGATTGGATCTCTTCTGTAAAGTGGTGATCAAATCAAGATTCTCTCTCCAGCTGCGACCTAACTAATATTTCAGCATAACCTCCCTGCTCTTACGTTCTAAACTTTAGCAGAGAAGGGTAAGTATCTTGTATGCTTCCTTAACCAGCTTATCCACACGATCTGAGATAGTAGGAACTGCAGATGCTGGAGAATCCGAGACAACAAGGTGCAGGGCTGGATGAACACAGCAGGCCAAGCAGCATCATAGGAGCAGAGAGGCTGACGTTTCGGGCCTAGACCCTTCATCAGAAAAGGGGGAGGGGAAGGGGGTTCCGAAATAAATAGGGAAAGAGTGGGAGGCGGATAGAAGACGGATAGAGGAGAGGATAGGTGGAGAGGAAACAAACAGGTCGAAGAGGCGGGGATGGAGCCAGTAAAGGTGAGTGTAGGTAGGGAGTTAGGAAGGGGATAGGTCAGTCCAGGGAGGACGGACAGGTCAAGGGGGCGGGATGAGGTTGGTCGGTAGGAGATGGAGGTGCGGCTTGAGGTGGGAGGAGGGGATAGGTGGGAGGAAGAACAGGTTAGGGAGGCAGGGACGAGCTGGACTGGTTTTGGGATGCGGTAGGGGGAGGGGAGATTTTGAAACTTGTGAAATCCACATTGATACCATTGGGCTGCAGGGTTCCCAAGCGGAATATGAGTTGCTGTTCCTGCAACCTTCGGGTGGCATCGTTGTGGCACTGCAGGAGGCCCAGGATGGACATGTCGTCTGAGGAATGGGAGGGGGAGTTGAAATGGTTCGCGACTGGGAGGTGCAGTTGTTTGTTGCGAACCGAGCGTAGGTGTTCTGCAAAGCGGTCCCCGAGTCTCCGCTTGGTTTCCCCGATGTAGAGGAAGCCACACCGGGTACAGCGGATGCAGTATACCACATTGGCAGATGTGCAGGTGAACATCTGCTTGATGTGGAAAGTCTTCTTGGGGCCTGGGATGGGGGTGAGGGAGGAGGTATGGGGGCAGGTGTAGCACTTCCTGCGGTTGCAGGGAAAAGTGCCGGGTGTGGTGGAGCTGGAGGGGAGTGTGGAGCGGACAAGGGAGTCACGGAGAGAGTTGTCCCTCCGGAAAGCAGATAAAGGTGGGGAGGGAAAGATGTCTTTGGTGGTGGGGTCGGATTGCAGATGGCGGAAGTGTCGGAGGATGATGCGTTGGATCCGGAGGTTGGTGGGGTGGTACGTGAGGACGAGGGGGATTCTTTTTTGGTTTTTATTGCGTGGACGGGGTGTGAGGGATGAGGTGCGGGAGATGTGGGAGACACGGTTGAGGGCGTTCTCGACCACCGAGGAGGGGAAGTTACGGTCCTTGAAAAACGAGGACAACTGAGATGTACGGGAGTGGAATGCCTCATCCTGGGAGCAGATGCGGCGGAGGCGAAGGAATTGGGAATAGGCGATAGCATTTTTGCAGGAAGGTGGGTGGGAGGAGGAGTATTCTAGGTAGCTGTGGGAGTCGGTGGGCTTGAAATGAATATCGGTTTCGAGGTGGTTGCCCGATATGGAGACAGAGAGGTCCAGGAAGGGGAGAGAGGTGTTAGAGATGGTCCAGGTAAACTTAAGGTTGGGGTGGAAGGTGTTAGTGAAGTGGATGAACTGTTCTTATCCACATGATCTGCTACCTTCAGTATAGACAACACATTTTTAACTTCTTAAACATTCCAAGGTCCAGGCTTACATGCTGAGGGACACAATAAGGCTTGGGGCAGCAGCTGTCAAGGCCTAGTGGGTAAAGGCCACCATGTAAGGTCTTTCTGGTGAAGTTAAATGGGGGTCCGTTCAGTTATAGGACCCTCCCGGTGCCTCAATTATATGTAAATATAATCTTGTACAAGTAAGAGATGCCTTTGGTTTGTTTATTGGAGTCCAAATCCAATGTTTGTTTTGTTGTCTATTCGTGTTTGTTGCAGATCTCCAGCACCTGTAGTCTTTTGTTTTATTTTCATGTTCTGGGATATCAATTTGAATTGCATCATGGCAAATAGTGAAATTATAACTCACTAAAAATATCTGGAATTTAAAATAAAGCTAATCTAATGGTGACCATTTAACCACTGTCTGCTGTTGTAACCAAAACTGGTTCACTAATGTCCTTTTGGGAAGGAAATCTTCCAGCCTTACCCGGGCTGGCCTACATGTGACTCCAGACCCATAGCACAGTCATACAGCATGGAAACAGACCCTTCAGTCCAACCAGTCCATGCTATGTTCCCAAACTGAACTAAACTAGTCCCAGCTGCCTGCACTTGGCCCACCAAACCTTTCCTATTCATGAACTCATCCAAATGTCCTTTAAACAGTGCTACTGCACCCACAATCACCATTTCCTCTGGCAGTTACTGCACACACGAACCACTTTCTGTGTAAAAAAAAGCTGTCCCTCATGTCGTTTTAAACTCTTTCTCCTGTCATCTTAAAAATAGGTAACCTAATTTCGAACTCCCCCAACCAAGGGAAAAGACTCTGTCATTCACCTTACCTATGCCCCGATGATTTTATAAACCTCAAAAAGATCACACCTCAACCCCCTACGCTCCAGTGAAAAAAGTCCCAGCCTTTCCAGCCTATTTTTATATCTCAAACCTTCCAATCCCAGCAACATCCTGGTAAATCTTTTTTGGTAAATTGGCAAAAATTATTCAAGGTATGAGAAGTGATCAAAGTTGATCGATCATATAGGAGATGATTCTTTTCACTGGTGGCAGTATTGGTGACCGGATGATACAGCTATAAACTTATTGACAAAAAAACAGACACAAGAAAAAAATGCTATTTTACACAACAAATTATTATGATCTGTAATGCAAAACGTTTCATATCATAAAAGGAATTGGATAAATGCTTAAAGAAGAAAACATTCAAAGTGCTATAGGGATAGAGCGGGCTCTTTCAGTGAGTTTGCACAGGCACAGTTGACTTAATCACCTCCTTCGGTGCTGTATCATTCCTTGACTCTACTTCATGAAGATAAATGCATAAGTATCAAGTTGTAGAAAGAAAAGTTATCAAGAGTTTACAGAAAAGGTGGGGTGTAATAAAGCAGTGAGGATTAGACAAAATGTCAAAGAATTGAGTGAAACAGTTGAAGGCATTGCTGCTAATGATCGGGTGAACGGGGTTAGATTAAAAGCCAGAAGCCAGAAGCAGGGGAAACATACATTGAACGCAAGGAGAAAAATAATGAACTTGTAGAAAACAACCAGTTGCCGCGAGGGTGTTTGAACAGATTTTATCTTTTCGTATCATCAGAAATTTGAAGAAAGATAGTCAAATGTACAAAGTCTGGTTATGTGGCTTAGGACCTGTTTATGTTTTTAAGTACAAGAAGCTAACACAGGGTGTTAAGTGTTGGACCATGGACATGTAGGTACTGACCTTGAAGACAAGAACAAATCAAGCAGGTGGAAGAATCGTGCTCGGTACTTCACATGCAACACAGACGGGTCCAGTAAACTGTAAAGCTTTTTGTAAAAGTCTGGGTATTCTCTACACACACATACACAAAATAAAACAAAAAAAATTATAAAATTTAAAAAATAACTTTAAAAAACTGTATAGACTCTTAGGCAAAGTATGCTTTTACAGTTATGAATATTCTTAAGCAATGAACTGCAGCTCTGAACATTACAGAATCAGAATATCGTGGAGCAGAAGATGAAACTTTTTTTTGAATATTGTGTTCCAAGTACGATGGGTTTTTTCCAATGAACAATGGGAAACTGTTTCCACTGGCACATCTGCACAGATACAGACAATCTGTGTGCATACACACACCACACAATGTATGTATACACATATACACAGACATGCACAAAGGCAATACATTGACAGGGACTGCAGAAAGTCACAGACTGTGCACACGCAGATTCTAAACATGGATAATTACACTCAAAGAATCCACGTGATTATCACAAATTCAAATACACAGTCCACTCAAAATATACATAACAAGGACACATCCACTGTACATGCCCACACACTTCATACAACCTTCATGCTTACTACATACATGCTAATAATTCTTATCACAAACCACGCACTGACCGTACACACATACAATGTAAAGGGATAAATTTTTGAATTGTACCATTAGCAAAAGCTCATATACTCACCAGATCAAATCAATAATACCTGGTCTTTATATATAAAAAGGCAAAACTGCACCAGGAGGTACAGTTCAAGTGTTCATATGTAACAAGGCAGAGAAACTTACAGGTTATGATGAAGAATAAGATAGAAGAGTCCATTTAAGGCAAGTAGACTAATGGCTCCTCCTGCAAAAGTCAAGGATACAATGTAATTTCAACCTTCAAAGAGCAGAGTCAACAAAGTGGACAATGAGACTCGGTCCAGTTGCAATGTTAGTGACCTGCTCTTATTCCGAGATACAGGGAAGCACACTGCACAGAGGGAGACAGAACATTAGTTTGGAAAAAATGGGCACGTGAACAAAGTCAGTGTTGCAAGGCCTTTATAATTTAGGAGGAGGCAGAAACCATTGTAACAAGATGTAGAGATTTGGGATAAAGCTACAGTGTGTTTCAACCTATCAGCTTTCTTCATTCTTTTATGGGATGTAGGGAATCATTGTCATGGCCAGAATTTGTTGTCAATCCCTAATTGCCGTTGAACTGAGAGGCTTGTTAGGGCTACTTTGGACACCAGTTATAAGTCATCCACATTGTTATGCGTCTGGCATGACATGTTGGTCTGACCAGGTAAAGATGGCAGATTTCCTTTTTGGAAGGAAATTAGGAAAGGCGACAAGTTTTTACAGTAATTGAAGACAGTTCTCCATTACAGAGACTCACTTTCCATTCCATATTCATTAAGTGACTTCCAATTCCAGTAGCAGTTGTGGTGAGATTGCAAACCATGTCACCACGTCTTCAGCCTGGGCTTCTGGGTAACAAGTCCAGTGACAATACCACTATGTCTCCCCTACCAATCACAGTAGTCCCAAAAAACACATGTTATTTATATAGTGCCTTTCATTTTTACCTCAGACATCCCAAAGAGTCCTTACAGAGGTCTATAAAATCATAAGAGGCATAGATAAGGTAGATAGGCAACCACTTTTCACTATGGTAGGGGTGTCTAAATCTAGAGGGCATAGGTTCAAGGTGAGAAGGGAGAGACAAAAAAAAGGGTCCAGAGGGCAATCTTTTCACATAGAGGGTGGCGAGTGTCTGAAACGGGCTGCCAGAGATAGTAGTTTGGCGAGTACAATTTTGTCATTTAAGAAACATTTAGACAGGTATATGGATAGAATAGGTATGGATGGAAATGAACCAAATGCAAGCAAATGGGACTAGTTTAAATTTGAAAACTGGGCAGCATGGGCAAGTTGAGCCAAAGGGCCTATTTCAATGCTGCAAACCTCTCTGACTCTAAGGGACTTACAGCTCGCAAAGCACTTTTGAACTGTTGTTGCTGCTGTAATCCAGGAAGAGTGGCAGTGCATACAGGGGTATAGGGCACGGGGGACATGATGCAATTTACAAAATAAGGGACATTAGTGTTGCACTTCCAAACCATGCTTCTGTGTAGTGAGAAACTGGACAGTGCAGCTCACTCCTCACTGTGAGGACGAACAAACTGATTATGTTAAATACCAGAGACGGCAAAT